ACTATCATTATTCTGTGTTGCATCTCTCAGGATGTGTTCCATTGCAAGGTTGATGGACAAAATGCCCATCTACATTTAATTGCTCACTCCACTTATAAAATGCTTAGTTTCCAAATTCTTTTGAAGCATATCCCAAAAAAATGTTAGTATATATTCAATATTATAATTATGAGTTATATGCATGTTATATGGCAATTCAAGAAAATATGCATTAGCTATATGTTTCATAAGATTAAGCCTTTTAGATTTTAAAGTATTTTTTTTTCAAATTTAAAACAAATCATCTAATAATTGCCCTTTTTATATTCTTTAGTAGATATAATTTCGTTTACTAAATCAATACGATTAATAACTTTTTATTCAATTTTTTTTTAATAATGTTATGTAATCTAATAACATATTAAGAGAGATAACATGTATCAAAATGTTGTGTAACCCTTACAGTCTTAGTACTTTCAAGAAAAATTGTGCTTATCATGGGGGATACATTATATAGACTATTACAAGATATAAAATAATTCATTTTGTAAATGTTCCTAAACCTAGCTTTTTTTAGTAATAGGATTTAGCTCTAAGGTGGGTCTAATGACAAATTGGTAAATAATATGCACGAACTATGTAGCAATAGCTAGTCTAATCCTAAGAAATTGAAATTCGGCACACTTACATCTCTTAAGTAACCATTAGGATAAGGTATATTATTAATTAATTTTTAAAGATTCTCTTCCTATAGATCATGATCCTTCAAAAAGAATATTTAAGTTGTATTAGTGTTGTATCCACCCTTCTAGCAATTGATGATGTTTTAATTATTCTTGGATGTGGATTCAATGAAAATTTTAGTGTTGGGGATACTAATTAGGGCAGAGTTGTGTTAGGTCTAAAAGTAGACGTTTGGGACTAGAGAATGCATGTTGTTGTAATTGTGGTTACTAATTTCTTTAAAGTATTCAATAATTTGGTCACAAGCATGTATTCAAGCATTTGGTTACAGGATAAGCCTCAATATTTCTTTCATTTTTATCCAAAGTAGGATATATCTTCCTAGCCATTTTTCTTTGCTAAGAAAATGCAACATTAAATGATTGCATTGCCCACAAGCTTCATTTTAGCAAATGCTATTTTCTAATAATCATTCATCTAGCCGCAAACAATGAAAATATTCATTTGGATAAAGCCATGCAAGGAATTTTTTGTTATTGTGGACCTTATCAAATGTTTCCCTTAATAATCCCAATTTTTTGTTATTGTGGACCTTATCAAATGTTTCCCAAATGTTTCGTAGGGTTACTAAAGTCGCCATGATTCCTAGCGCTATTCTCTATTCTCAAGGGATTCTTATGTCTTTGATTGTGTTTAGTATACAAACTTCTACATAAAAATGCTTAAGAGGGATGTGTTGTATGGTTGCGATAGATGATGTTTTCATCTTAAGGTTAATCAGATTAATAATTGGCCTTTACGGTTTAGACAATCA